GCATGGTCCTTCCTGTGGGTCATCAGTGTTTTGAGAAATGAATACGCTCGATATGGATGAGCTACGAGCTGACTCTTACTAGACGCTTGAGGGCTTTCTCTTCCCATTCAGCTCTGCTGGAAGTGGAGGAAGCTCAGAAGTGGACGGAGCAGTTCTTTCTCACACTTTTATTTTATCATACTTAGTCCTGCCCAACTGATACACAGCTATAAACCCCCAAGGACAGCCAACTGACCCTTATCCATATACAACAACTTTGTTATTTTATGCATAATTAAGTTAGATAGCATATTTCAGTGATTTACCTAATTCATTTCTATTGGCTTCATGTAAACAGGTGAGTCAGTCCAGCTTGAGTAGCTGGTGGCTGTTTTGAGGGCAGAATGGGAAACAAATTCCCATTCTACCCTCAAAATACTCTTATCTGAGAAAGGAGCCTGCAGCAGAGCTAGGTGGAATTGTTTTTTTTAAGCAGAAAATTGTGAATTTTTTTTAAACATAAAAACATTAATTTTGCAGTTTTGCTGGAGAAACAAAACCACCTGTTTGAAAATCAGAAATATGTTGGTTTTCCATTTCCACCTGAATAGATCAGTCATGTTTGAAGGAAGCAGAGAATTTCCAAGGAAGGTTTTTTTTGTTCGGTCACAAACCAAATTTTCCATTTGGAAAACAAATGTTTTTTGAGAGAACCACTTGAATCTGCCCTGCTCTGCCCAGGATGTCTGTACCCTGGCATGCCACACAGCCAGCTTTGGAGGGCAGGGGTGGGGGCTCTTTCCAACTACAGCACAGTGGAGAGGTAATGAACTTTGAAGTGGGGGCCGATAGATCTGCTATGCCTTTTAGGTACCCGGTCCTTTGTGATGCTGAAGTACCACAATCTGGGAGCAAGATTATTTTCCCCATCACCCAGAAACTTCCCCTGCCCATTCCCCTGCACCCACCACAATGCACCGAGCAGAGCTGTGGCCTTCAATGCATAAGGTTCGCTAGGCTTTTGCAACTACCTGTGAAGATCCAGTAGGCAAAATCTGAGAGGATGCTGAATGGTCAGAATAGGTGGGCTATTTTTTTGAGAAAAGACATTGGGATTTTGGTTACTTCCCCCTGACTCGGAGCAGCAGCAATATTGGGGGCAGGTTGTGGGACATGGTTCTGTAATCCAAAAGAGGCAACGACACCCATTGAGCCAGCAAAGCTGGCGATTGCTTTATGGCCCTATTAAAAGCCAGCACATACAGGAGTGTAGGTTGTAGCCGTGTTGGTCTAAGGACATAGGCAGACAAGGTTCCTTGGGTGAATCTGATATCTTTTATTAGACCAACCCAAAGGGTTGGAGAATAGTTATTAAGCAAGCTTTCGGGCTCAAAAACCCTTGGTCAGGCTAAAAACTTCCTTAGCCTGATGAAGGTTTTTGAGCCCGAAAGCTTGCTTAATAACTATTCTCCAACCCTTTGGGTTGGTCTAATAAAAGATATCAGATTCACCCAAGGAACCTTGTCAGCACATACAGGAGGCACTTGTCTAGGACGCTGGGAGCTGTAAAACCTTTCCCTCCCTAAGATGCATGCCCTTATTAAATTAATTCTACTCCACTATGTAAAGGAAGCACATCATAGGTTAGTAATTAAGTCTCAGTGGGTGCATCTACATATGTAATTAATTCACAGCAATAAGCTCCGGTGCATATCACACTGGAGTTTATTGCTCCCAGGCACCACATTTGAACATACGCCCAGGACTGCAGCACATTGAGCCAGGTTGGAGCATCCCCAGGTGGCCCAGGGGTCAGCCTGCTACCAGGGCTGCTACAACCTGGCTCAGCGTGTTGCAGAAGGGCTGGCTGGGGCACGAGGGTGCTTCAATGTGGGGGCTAGCTGGCAGGCACCCCCTGCACTGAAGCACCCTCATGCCCCAGCCAGCCAGATCAACATCTACGTGTACAGTGCTGTGCAGTAAAAAACTACAAGTACTAATCTACTGAGGAGTTAATTAGTTTACTCCATCCCAATAGCATTGCACATGTAGACACTGAGACATTTACTGCAAATCTAATTAGGCAACTGCAATCAATGTCTCTCAGACAGACACTGCTTTATAATGTGTATTAAGGTTCCCCAATAAGAAGAGGCTTGTTCAGTCATTGGCCTGTGGTAGACCTGCCACTTCCTGTGTGGCCCTGGGCAATCTCTTAACCTCTCTCCATCTGGGGCTCCCACCTGTGAAATGCAGGTAGTAATCCTTCCTTTCACTGCTCCACGCCTTCTGCTCTGTTCCTGTTCCAGGGCAGAGGCTGCCCCTGGCTGCGTGTATGTGCAGGGTGAATCTCAGCTGTAATAACAACTGTCTGCTTGGTATTAAGAGAACGCTGACATCCATCCAGTCCCTGCCCTGAGAACTCGAAGGCAAATCGTCGTCGCAGGATTGAGCAGATTTCCCACCTGGCAGTGGGGAATGGAAAGGTGGAAAGGGGAGGGAGTTGCACTACAGCCAAAGCTTCTAGAAGTGACATGATTTCCATGGCTTATGTTTGGTGCATTATTTGAAACCTCTCGAAGGGAATGCAATTTTCAAATGCTCTGCTCGCTGTGCACATGGGGCCACCGATCTCTTGGGTTTCTCTGTACTTGCGAGTAGCAAACAGAAGAAGCGGCTCTGTAGAGAAGCTGGTGCATTTAAACGTGGGCTTCCTCTGTCTCCAACAGAGAAAGGCGCAAGGTTTTGTGCTGCTCACCACCGTTCACGTTAGACCTGAAATACCAGTATGGGGGTGGGAGAAAGACCGAAGCTCCATCCTCCCACACACCCCGAGGCAGGCAGCCTCTCAGCTAACAAATTGTCATAGCTCCAGCGAGACCAATGAATGGTGGTGTCAGCCGAGTCTGCTCCCAGATCTGCCACCCTCTAAATGCTAGAACAGTTCGTGCTGCATTGCAAGAACTTGGAAAAGAGAAGCTACTGGTTTTGGTGCAAGTACACGAGAGAGACTGAAGGCTGCATTTGAAGACCCTTTTGGATTGAGGCAGGAGCCCCGCTGCTTCTGTTCTGGTTATTTTTGCTGCAGAAGCCACCCCCCCAGTGGGATTGTGTCCTCGTGTTCACCCATGTCAATCTAGAGGGTTTGCACTGCAGCCGGGGGAATTTCTCCAGACTCATGACCCCTTATCTCACTCGCATCTCAAATTCCACAAGGTCTTGTTCCTGTTTAAGGCAGCAGTCCAACCTGCTGGATGACATTGCCAGTGCTCTACCCTGTGCCATGTACCCAGTAGCCTTGTTCAACTGAAGTCAACTGGATTATGCTGATTTGCATCCGCCAGAGATCCAGTGAGCCTCGTGTGTCTTTAGATGTTCTAGGATCATAGAAGACAAGTTTCTTGAGTGCATGTTAAGCAGAAACGCAGCTCCCTTTCACCTCTATGAAAATCCGGATGAATAGATTTTGAGAGACCATTTTGATTACCAAGTATCACATCTTAGGAATTTAGCCCACTCATCCCTCCACTAAGCCCATGTGCAATAGCTGAACTATAGCATGCATTCGAGGAGGACATCTAGCATCAATTTAAATGCCCACTGAAGGAGGATCAGGCAAACCCATAAGTAAATTATTCTGTGTAATGAGCCTCGTCAAAAAAATTGGGAGGTTTTGACAAGTTGCTTTGGATTTTCACAGAGGAACCCATGACCAAAATCTGGCCCCCAACTAACAATACTGCTTGTGCTTCAAGTCCACACATTCACGGTTCCATCAGTGCGTGAATTATTAAGGGTGTTTTCTGAGGGAAAATCATAAAAGTACTGTAGGAAAAGGAAATCAATGTTTCTTTTTTTGTGTTCAGTATTTGATGCTACAAATATGGAAATACAGACGGATGTCTTGCTTTGATGGAGAACTGAATAACATTATTTCCATATTACCGTTAGCATTTGTATTCTGTTAGTGCTAGCGCCCCAGCTGAGAGCAAAGCTGTATTGTGCAAGGCACTGTACAAAACTGCACTGAGAGAGAGTCTCTGTGCTGAGGAGCTTGCAATAGAAAACAGCTCAGATATATTGGGGGAGTCAGGCTTCTGCTCAGGGAGGTGCTTTGCAACTTGTATTTTTATCTCTCTTTGCACTTATGTGTTTGTCAGTGAATGAGAGCTGAGTCGGTACTGAAATCTTGTAATTAAAGTGCAGCTTTGTCTAAATTAGCTGACACTTTCAACTGTGAAAGATATGGTCTACTCAGTACTATAACATAGCTTCTTAAAAACACTTTAGTCTTCCTATCCGAGCTGGGAGGCCTTTCTCACTAACCCCAAAGCGAAAAGACTTGATGAAGGGAAATCAAACCAATGCATATACTGATCACTATGTGGAGGCTGCAGCCTGGCTCCTTCCCCAGCCCTTCTTTCCCACAGCAAGGGCTGCCCCATGTGCCCACAGCAGGCTGCTGGGATGTGCCATCAGGCCCTGGGCGTACAGGAGCCACCTTTCCTCCGATCAGCATGGATAGGAGCAACTCCCTGCCCTGCCCTTCCCTGTCCTGCCCCAGGCTGTTCATATCTCAGAGGCATTGTGCATCCAGAGTCCCTCTGCCTCTCATGTACACCCCCCTGGGGTAGTGGCAAAATCTGGTCGAGTCTGCTCCGGAGAAAGCAGCCGCAGCTCTTGCCTCGCCCTTGCAGGTATCTGCTCCCCAGATCTCGCCCCACAGGCTGGAGAACCTGACTACTGCCTCATGCATAGGTTCCCAGTCTCCTCCCCTTTCACCAGCACCCACACGCCCCATCGCTGCCTGTGACTCTTCTGTAGTTTGAGTAATCATCAGATTAATGCAGTGCAGGGAGCTGGTTATCTCAGGCAGAACATGCAGAGCTCTTTCCCCTGAATTCTCCCTTCTGCACACCCAGGGTTGCGGTATGTCTCATGTCACATGCTGGCAGCATGTGTTATGTTTCCTCTCTGCAGCTGATCCTTAGAGAATAGGAGCCACCTGTTGGTGCCAGCTAATGGACTGGGTCCCCTTTTTGCTCCCAAGGTGAGTGCCTGGGCTCTGGGGTTGTTCTTTGCCACGAAGTGGGGATGCTGCCAGATTGCCATTTATCTTGCTGGTTCCCTGGGCTGCACCTCTCTGTTGTATCTGTCTGTTATCAGGGGTCTCGTGCATGGGGTGTATTGCACCGTGCAGTGTACTGCAGGGCAGGGGTGCTCTCACAGCACCTCTACAGTGACCCCGCTGGATCCCTGCTGAGAAGCCCACCCTGCCCATGCTCTCCTATTCTACGAACGCCAAAGTTGGAAGTGAGGTGGCATAGCCAGCTGAGTGCAGCCCAGAGCAGGTGCCAGGCAGCATGCCCAAGGTAGAGAGCCACAGAGCAGGACTTTGGGGTACTCTCAGGACTATTTCTAGGAGGAGGAGTCAGTGGGAAAGGCCTGCTTCACAGCAGCATTCTCCGGTGTACAAAGGAGGAAGGGAATTTATAAACTCTAACTGAGCTACCTGAGGTGCTGGTACCCAAATAGCTACAATAGTACTGCCCTCTGTCTGGGCTAAGGAAGTAAGTACTCAAATAAATTAATGAATTTTCCAAATGGAGTGTTGCTCAGTTCACAAAAGTTATGGTGGGGTGCCCTGAGTCTAATGAGTGGTGCCCTGAGTCTAAGAAGGGGTGCCTCAGGTCTAGAAAGTTTGAGAACCACTGATCTAGAAATACCTGCAAGCTTTTGGGACTGGGATTGTGCCTTGGGGCTCTGGCTACCTCTAATAACATGATGGTAAAAGAGAGATCTCTCTCTCTCCCAGTAACAGGGGAGAATGCCTTTGGGTATATCATGCAAATGGAAGTCCTAATATAATAAAGGACAGGTCATTAACATATTCATTTGTTCTCTGTGTCTGCAGGGAGATGGGGCAAGAATTGCAATCAGGGAGATTTCAGGTAGATATGAGGAAGAAGTTTCCAACTCTGAGGGTGGTTAAGCACTGGAACAGATTACAGGGGGAGGTTGTACTTTCTTCATCAATGGAGATTAAGGAGTGCAGGGTCAGACAAACACTAGGCTGGGATGGTTTGATGGATGATCTTGCATTGAACAAGGGGTTGGACTAGACGACCTTGTAAGGTCCCTTGCAGGCATAGCTTGCTGTCAGGTCATGGCTTTCACTTGAAGTCTCATGTTTATCCACTAAAATACGTTATTGGGTGCTGGGATTTACTATTTACAAATATACTGAAGTTTTTAGTGACACACACAGTCTTGTGCAAATGCAAACATGCCTACGTGGGCCCAGAGGGTATGGGAGGGTGATTTTGGGTAAGAGTAAGAGTCAGGGATGAATCTTATGTTATAAAGGGCTTGGAGAGATGAAACATTTGTACCTGTGTGAAAACAAGCAAACAAAAAGGACCAGGCAGATGCTGCAAGCCCCTAAAGTGAGGTAACTTTGCTGTATCAGTTGGAGAACTGACCCTAAAAGAATCTGGGGTAAAATGCTAGTGGTGTAAGTTATGTTGGTCCACCCTCAGGCAGCATTTTGCTAAAGGCAAAATGGGCTTTTACCTGCTCCTCTGTTATCCCATGCTGAGTTAGAGTAGGTAGCTGTGTATTGTGTATGCTACTCCTGATGGCCTTGTACATCTCTCCAGGCCCCAGGAGTACATATCTTCCACCTGGGTTGCCACAGATACCTGTTGGTTCCTGTCCAAGAAGATCTACTTGTATATTAGGGATAGCCATTACAAATAGGGGTGGGGAGAAGCTGTCTTTTAAACAGAATTGCTTCACATGTAATCTCTCTCTCTCTTTATCCCTTTCCCTCTTCCCTCTGCCCCAGCATGATGCTTCCCATTATTCTCCAAGTGGCCTGCAGTCTGTCCGGCTGGCTCTTCCTCTATGCCATCTTCTGCTCCTGGAATGAGAATCGGTCTTACGAATGGAGCTGCCGCCTGGTCACTCTGTCGCACGGAGCGGTTGTCACCTTCCTCTCAGGTTACATCGTTCTAGTGGATGGCCCCTCACCTCTAACCCATGCAGGTATGTTCGGAGTTTTACCCTGCTGAGACAGGGCAGTGGCTCTGCCTTCACTGGACCTGCGATCAGTGTAGGAGGTGCTTTCTCCATTTCCTGCTTCCATCTGTCCTCAGAGCGGCACCCTCTTCCCCTGCCCTTCTTGAAACCCAGTACCCTGCCTTTCTTTCCAACCTTGTTGACTTCTCCCAAGCTTATTTGGTCTCTCAGATCCCAGGTGGAGTCTGCAGAGGCTGCATTTCTTTGATTGTTGACTCTTTCATCTGCTGAAATTCCCTGGGGCAGGACTTTCGCTCTCAGTTCCTTGTCCAAGAGCCATGGACACCTGGGATAATTCCTCAAGAGTGAACACAACTCTTTGTCCACTCATATCACTAATGTGCAGTCCTTTCCTGGAGCCTCAGCAATAGGCAGGCCAGTGCATAGGAGTCAAACTGTGTCCCTTGCTTCAACTGCTGGTTGATACTGTGGTAGTTTATAAGGGCAATTAATGCACTGCTAGAACTTAGGGAGGATTCCCGATTATCTTCCTATGCAAAGAGTAAGGTAGGGCATGTTGGAGGTGTGGGGGGGGGGATGGACAGCATTGCAGAGGTTCTCCACTGTGACTGACTGGCAGCCCAGGCTGGGTCTTCATGGGGTGGCTCTAAGTGCTGACACTGGCAGCTCTGACTGCTTACATCCAGCAAACTGACCTACTGAGTACGTATCGTGTTCTTCTGGAGGTGAATATCAAGCTAATGCTTTGGAAAAAAGGGAAGGAATTATCTTAAAACACTCTCCACTCAATGCTGGTGGAGCTGTGGTCCACCCAGGTTGGAGGCCAGAGGAATGTCCTTTCTCAGTCTAACAAGCCTCTTTCTCTTCCAGGGTCACCAAACACACCCCTGCAGGTCTGCGCCTTCTCCATCGCCTTGGGCTACTTCATCTTTGATTTGAGTTGGTGCTTGTACTTCCAGACGGAGGGGATCCTCATGCTGGCCCATCACGCACTGAGCATCTGCGGCATGGCGATCGTGCTGGGGATCGGCCGGTCAGCCACTGAGGTCAATGCTGTTGTTTTCGTCAGTGAGATCACCAATCCATTGCTGCAGGCTCGCTGGTTCCTGCGGGAGACGGGCCGCTACCACAGTTGGCTGGGGGGCATGGTGGACTTCTTCTTTGTGCTCCTTTTTCTAGTGCTGCGGATTGGAGCGGGAGCCTGGATCATGTACGCTATGGTTACCTCACCAGAGCCCATGTGGCTACTCAAGGTTGGAGGCCTGGCCATGTACATAGTGTCTTTGGGGTTCATGGTTAAAATTTGCAGGTTTGCTAAGAGGAAAATGATGAAGAAGTACAATGCTTGGAAGAGCATGAAGAGCAAGGACACAGGTCTTCTCTCAACAGCTAATGGAGAGGTGACAGCTCATTAACCTGGGAATCATATGGGCCATGGGCCTAGCCTGAGTATAGGAGTCCTGACTTGGGACGTCCAGTCTTGCAAGAAGGAAGACGTCTACATTAGCAGCCATGTGAGATGGACCATGCAGCACTGGCTGTGAACTGCTAGTGTTGGAGGAGAAGCACTCAGCTGGAGCTGTGGGAACACAGAAAAAGCTAAGGGAGGAAGAGCAAGTTCCTTGCCAGTCTGACCGAGTCAGGTGCTAATATACTAACTTCTCCTGTGCTGATCCTGTCTCTAAAACATCAATGGCACTAAACCTATTCAGTCTGCTTTGTGCAGTTGCACAGTCCCAGTCCGTTTTTTTAACTCTTCCTCCTCAAAGCCAGTATTTTTTTATCACGAGAGCCAGAAAATCAGTACCTGGGGCATCTGTGAGCTTCACGGCTCTGCTGCAGATCAGGGCTGTGACTCTGCAAAAGCCATTTCACATTTGCCTTACTTTCCCGAGCTAGTTTATAGGACAATAAGAACCTCAATGTCCAGCATATGTTGGGCTTAGTGTTTTTAGAGGAGAGCTCATTTTGGGAAGGGAAGGACTCCTTCTGTGTGTTGTCTGGTAGCTGTTAATGAAATACCTCTTCCTCATTCTTCACCTTAGTTCGACGGTTATGTCTGCATCCTCATGCAAATGGATCCTGAACTTGTAGCAGTGCGACGTCAGTGATGTTGCTCTGGCATTGCACTAGCAAACGGAAATTGAAACGGTTCCTGTTGTCTTGATAAATTTCCAGGTAGGGAAATGTTCATGTGATGTGTTCCTGTTTATATTGTTGTCACTGCAAGACCAAGGATTGAAGGGGATGTGGAAAACGAACCCCTCTTTTTATATACACGCACACGCGGTGCCCCAGTGGGAGATTGCCCCAGGAAAACATCATTATAGGACAATTTTGTCAGGGTGCCAGACCTGTTCTGCATATAGACAGCCTCCAGATATTTCTTCCTGAGCGCTCCTCTCACATGAGACTGCCAAGTGACTGGTTCCAGAGGCAGTGGCTAAATGGTGGGGCGTTGTCTCTACACTTTGGTGCAGTGTCACTTGCATTACACAGGTCCTTGCACTGTTGTACCCGAGGGTCCAGGAGCACTTGTCTTTAATCTCACTGCCCTTGAGAGCATGTGTTTGATTTCCCTGAAACATCCCTGGGTAGGTTAGTTTGGGCAGGTCAAATTTCTGTCCTGCTGTAGAACCAGCCAAAGAACAAGTTTCCACATCTTGGCTTTGGGTTGGTTGGTTATGTTGGCCCCTACCAAAAAAGCCCCCAACCCACCTCCTTCTTTTATTCTTATAATCTTTTTTTTTTTTTACTCTAGCAGCAAATTAAAGATATTTAAGGTGCCACTTGGAGTGGAATTGAGGCTAAAACAAGCCTTCTCCAAGTCTGTGCTGTAGCAGAACGGTGGGTGCTTAAAAAAAAAGCTGTGTTGTTGCAGTGGGAACACAGCTGCTAGGTTGATGAAGGCTGCACCAACTAACTGGAGCCATGTGCCTGATGGCTTGTGGCAGCTCTGCTCCATGCTGTGGTTTGCCTGGTTCTCAGGGTACACAGACTCCCAGGGAACTGGGACCCAGGATAGTGAGGAATGGAGAATGTGATAGTGGTGTGGAGTTAATAGACAAAAAGGGAGGGCTGTGGCCGGTGTGGGGGTGGAACTGCAGAGAAGGAGATAATCTTCGGGCGGCGTAAAAAGCTGCTGATGTGAGCAGAAAGGAGAATGGAATGAAGGGGAACTGGAAGAAAAAGCAAAGGACACGCCGCTTTGGGGCTGTTAAGTTGCACTGGTTAGGATCTCGCGGCAGGTGTGAATACAAGCAGGAGCTTCATGTAAATGCAGATGCAAAGGAGGTGGAGCCTTTGGCCTCCTGGGAAATTGCCAGGACAGCCCTTGGTGATGTCAAGGCAGTAGGTGACTGGACTAGCATAAGGCATTAACTTCTGCCCGAGTCACTGCTTTATCACAGGTGCTAGATTTGAACTCTGTAATTAAAAGGAAAAGGAAAAAACCCAACCTTTGTTTACTCATTTATTTATTTCAAGATTGCCGTGCTTGGTCTCTCTGGGTCCAGGTGCATAGGATGAGACTTGATGGTCAGCCCTAAACTCACTTCTTGCTTCTCACTGGGAGTCAGATCTCAAGTGGTGAATGTTGTTGTACATGGGGGGAGGAGAGGGGAGGGGTCCTCTTGGAACATCAGGCTGAGGTGGTCTTTGCTCTTGGTGGGCAAGAAAGATCAATGATCTCCTTCCTTGCTAAAGCCAAGGTCTTTTTCCTGTGGCCTTATCCAAAATCCCCTTGTTTTACTGTAGTTGTAGCTGCTATGCACTGGCTTGCTGCCACATTCCACCCCAGACATGGTTGCATTAAATATTAAATAGCTGATAAAAATGCTTTTGGAAGAAAAGCATGTACATAAAGGAGCCGCACCTAATACAAAATAAAATCAGATGCAAGAAATAGCCCGGGCTCCCAGATCCAGCAGGAAATGCTACCTGAGAACACAACTGCCACTGGAAGTTGTCCATGCATTTGTCTGACAGCTGCAAGTGTCCGATGCTCTGCTCTCAGCAGGA